CCAAACTCAATGCCACTGAGTCGATTCTGACTCATAGTGACCCCCACTTGGTTTCCAAGGTTGTACATCTTTACAGAAGCAGACTGCCTCACCTTTCTTCCAAGGACCACCAACCCTTCTGTTAGCAGCCAAACGCCTTAACCACTGCACCACCAGAGCTCCTTGCGCCTGTTCATATGTACTGAGAAAGCAGATAAAGTAGCAAAAGGCATTATTTAACCCACGAGTCAGTCAACTTTTTATCTACTGGGCCAGACAGTATGTAGTTTAGGCTTTGTGGGCCATACAGTCTCTGTAGCATCTATTCAACTTTATCATCATAATGCAAATGCAGCCACAGATAATATGTACATGACTGAGCATGGCTGCGTTCCAATAAAGCTTTATTTATGGACAGTGAAATTTGAAATTCATATTCTTCTTCTTCTTTGTTTATTTGACTGTTTGACCCATTTTAAAATAAAAGTCTTAGCTCATGGGCCATACAAATAAAGGCAGAGAGGGGAATATGGCCCACAGGCCAGAGTATCCAACCTCTGGTTGAACCTATTCATAAATATCTCTCCTTGCTAGGTGTAGCTCTCAAACTTCAAGATCATTTGCCAGAAAAGGTAGTAAATTTCAGGAATGTATTTCTCAACAAACAAAAAAAATTGCTCTCAGTTTTTTTTTTTCTGGAATGAAGTATAAAAACAGTGGTTTCAAGTCCATTCCTTAAAGATAAATTACAAGTTCACCAATAATGTATATTTTCTCACCGGTAAACTTCCACGGCAAAGTGAAAGTGAAATCGTGTAGTTGAACAGCGTGTGTGCGCGCACGTGTGTACATGGGGGGTGTGCACACATGCATGTAAAGGGAAAGCATGAACAGCTGGAAGTCTGTAAGCACAAAATGTGAATTTCCAGGTCATTCATTTAAAGGAAGAAAAAAACTGAAGTCCAAGTCTTACTGCAGCTGACAGTCTGTCAAATTCAGAGAGCAAGAAGGTGAAATTCACTTGCCAGAGAGAGAGATGTTTGAAATGGTCCAAAACCTGAACCAGACAGATGCTTTCTCCTCGGAACTGCAAGCAACTAGACTTTCACAGCTGCAAACTAGCAACCCCTGGGAAAGGAGAGTTAAATATTCCTAAAACAGGAATCTGGTTCTGTTATGAAACTGTTCATCATTTCCCCGCCTGACAGCCACTCAAATCAGCAGAACTCAGAAAGGAATCAGACGATGTGCAAGTAGCATTTTTAATAAAATTCAAATCCACAGTCTTTTGGGGTTTTGCTTGGCTAGCCTCCTGTGTGCACTCTTATCAGCAATATTAATGCAATTACTCTGGTAAAAATAGAAGAGATGGGGAAATCTGACTTTTTGCACCTCTTCTTTAACTTCCTTTTTCCCCAGGAAATATTTAATTCAGAACAAAGTACAGGTGAAAAACAGAAGTTTTGTTATCTTCAATTAGGTTTTACATAAAAATCAAGGGAAATTATAACTGTATTGTTTATTCTTCCTCAAATGTATGGTATTTGTAATAAAATCAGTGTACTTTATTATATCACTGCTGTACACCACAAAACAACCCATGCAACTATAAGAAAATGGAAAACAAAGCACCCCCAAAAAATGTACTTGCTACAAGAAATAATTTTCATATTAATAATTGTGACTAAGGTTATCCACTCTGCGAAAGTGTCACTACTTCATAACAACCCTAGGAGTCTGGGGTCTTAAATCACCTCCTCCCTCGGGCAAAGGGGACATAATTATATGTTTTCCTACTGAATCACATTCTTCCATAAACACTGGAAAGAGTGCATCCGCCTTACAAATGAAATAGTCAATACAAAGAGCAGTAACAATAAAAATATATGTCTATTTTTATACTATTACTAGTTTATAAGGCCATCATCTGTAATGCTCTCCTCTTCAGGGATGGAAATGATATATAACTGTTTCCAAGGAAACAGTGAAGTAAAATTCCGTGTAAACTATCAAGCAGTTTAATAACCAGAAAATTAGAAGAACCAGAAGAAACATCTCCGGATAGAAGCACGACACATCGTGTCACCCATGATCGATGCATCAAGGGTCCCAACTCAGAGAGATGACACATAAGGAGTTGCAACTTGCCAGCCAGCCTAACACTTGGCAGCAAAAAAAAAAAAAAATTAAATGATGATCATAAGATGGTACTGGGCTCGTGAGGGGCAATCCGAATTCTGATTCTTCCCATGATTAAAGGGCACAGATTCTGAGAAGAAATGGTTAAGTGTAGATACTTTGAGCTCAAAATATGCTGCTTCTTCATTCCAATGTGGATTCATATCCTCCTGCAATTCTCTGAGAAGCCCTGGTGGCACAGTGGTTAAAGCACTAGACTGCTAACTGAAAGGCTGGCAGTTTGAACCCACCAGCCATTCTATGGGAGAAAGATGTAGCTTCCACAAAGATTGACAGCCTGGGAAATCTTCTGGGGCAATTCTACTCTGTCCTATAGGGCAACGGTTTTGGAGTTCTCTATAATTACCACTCTTTACTGACAGAGGGGACCCTGGAGAAACATCAGTTCTGCTTTCTACATTTGCTGTAAGAATCAACATTTAGAAACTCAAGTTCTTAAGCCTGAAAGGTAAGGTGGTATTCCGAGGTAACTGTGCATTCCCCTCTAAACCAAGAGAATTTTAAGCACACAAGTAACCCACGATGATCAAAGCTAAATCCTTTAGGAAGATTATCCATTCTGAAATCAAGAAAATCCTGCAATGTAAGCACTTTTCTGCTCCACCTTTGAAAAAAAAAAAAAACTTGATTTCTGCAACACTGTTTCAAACACACCACACACACACACACACACACACACACAATCCCCCAATCTTTCCAGGGCAGACAGGGGCAGCTGCCAACCTGTATTCCTGCAAATTGATGGCCCTCTGGAGGTATTTCTAGCTCGGCTTGGGGGCCATCATTGAGCTCACACGGAGGAAAAGGAAGAATTCCTAGGGATGGACGATTTCTTAATGGGCACAAAAGCTCAGGACACGTGCACCTTCTCTTCAGAATCAACTCTCTAGGGCATCACAGTAAAGACAAAAAGTGAAATTCACACTCACTCACTAGATCCCAAAGTCTCTTTCAAGAAAAAAACATACTGATCCTGCACAAAGCTCTGCCTTGGGTTTTGCAAAAACTCAAGGCAAGATTTGTTAACACCAAGAAGGCATCCTAGAATTTAGTAAAGAAGCATGCCTTCTCTGACATCACCACTGCCCTCTCCCCAACCCCCAAATGTAAGGACAAAACCTAGGCTCTGGATGTTTAGTTCGGCTTCGGTTTTGAGTATCCAAGAGCAGTGCAAGCTATTTTGGTTACTTTATACTCTTGGTTGAATGTCCCGTTCCCTTCAGCAATCTCTCTGTCCATCACACAGAAGGGGGCTCCGTGTGCTTTCTAAGCTGCTGCCCACAGCTGTTTTACATCCGTGAGTGATTTAACAGCTGTTTAGAAACCAGCCGTGGGCAGAGGCATGCAGGAAGTTGACAGACTAGTGGAGGGAAGCCATGGCCCTCTATGGCATCGATGTGCAAGCTAACAGTGTGGTACACTACAATCACTGCTGGTTCCTCACCAGGCCTCTGATGTGGGGCTCGAAGGCAGATGTATTTACCCATCAACTGTGTAACTCAAGCCTACCCAGAGTAAGTGGCACTGGGGCCCTTTGTCCCAGGGAGAATGTGCTGGTGACATTAACACAGACCAGTGTGAGTAGACAGGGAAGGTGGAAATGGGCAGGAACAACAAGCAAAGGCCTACAGAAGCTGGAAAGGGACACGTCCTACTGGCAGCAGCAAATCTAAACGTTTCTGAAACAGCCCAAATGTAATTTGGCAGAGCAAAGTCAACATACGTTTCTGACTCGGGGTATTTGAGGCTGCCTGCTTCTGCCTGATGCAATCAACACGGCCCACCCGACACTAAAGACTGAAAGCCAACCTAGAATTATTCTGTCTCAGGAACAGATCTTAAGCTGCATCCTGGGAAAAAAAAAAAAAAAAAAAACCCTACCGTCTACCTCCTAAGGTGGTGGTGGCAGCCTCTATGAAGAGCTCAAAGGCAGAAGGCCAGGCCTTCCAGAGTCCAGGGACTTGGGCAGACAAAGTTGGGCAGGGTTCTTGGGAGACCTCTCCTACCCGGCTCTTCCCATGTGGAGACCACACAGCAAGAGGCTAACCTTGCGCTGGCCTCAAGGAAGACCTGGGAAGCCAAAGCAGGGCAGAAGACCCAGGAGAAAAGCTCTGAGCAGGTCATAATTAGCTAGGCGACCCAGCAGTGGGAATGTTCCTCCTCCTGTCAGCCCTGCCCAAGAAATCTGCCTCGATCGGGGATTTTCTTTAGTTTCCACAACACAGCCACTTGGAAACACATTTCTAAAGCTTTCAAGGCTGAGGAGCATAGAGTTACCCAAAGAAAGGCTGAAGGCGTTTCTCTTCCACCCCTAGGACTTCACCAGCTAGGTCACTGCTGGGACCACCCAACCCGCCTCAACCTACAAGTTGACTTTTCCGGGCTATGAGGTGTAATTTAAGGGTAAAGGGGGACAGGGACACTTCATGTCGTTGCTACTTGGAAGGCAGGTCCCCAAGCTCCAAGCACTTTTGGCTGGCCCTAGCAGCAGCAGGGCAGGGAGCAACTACACCCATCTTCTCTTGGCCCTGAATGGCACATGTGACCCCAAGCACCACTGGCGCTTTTCCTAAGAGCAAACAAAGTGTCGTGAAGATCTGTGTGCGTGAGCGCGCGTGGGTCTCTGCGCGTGCGGTCTACACCCGGGGAACCAGTGAGAAATAAGTTGAAATCGTAGCCCCTGGCCACACCGTTCCAGTCCGATCTGAAGCCCCACCGTTGTCCCCAGCTTCTGCTTCTCCTCCAGCCTCCCGCAAAATCAAGCACCAAGTTGCCCGCGGCGGGGGCGACCCCGGGTGCACGCGAACCGGCGCGGCCCCTACCTCGAGAGCTTTGCAATCTTCACAAAGCTGAAGACATCCATGCAGGCAGCTGG